GCACCGCGTCCCCCCAACGCCAGTCGGTCTTCACCTTCTCGACGTCTGCCACTAAACTAATATATCGGGACATAGGTTCACATCGTCCTGGCTTCGAGGAAGGTTTGTCGGTCTTGAAATCGGAGGTCGTTTCAAAGGCTCCTGGGATGCATTCCCCGACATGAGGGGGTACTATTGCATTGCCCTTAGATGAGCGTGAAGAAGAAGAAGGCACATCTTCCTGAGAGACAGAGGTGGAAGTTTTCGCCATTCTTGTTAAAAGATTTCAGAGAAGAAATGAAATTATAGTCAGAATAGAACACAAGAGAGAAGTAAGAAGAGCTCTTTTGAGGGCTTAATGATGCAGTGGAAAATAAGGGGCGAAGGAAGAAGTATTTATAGAGGCCAAACGTGTACTTTGGAGGCGGGCCAAAAGATAGCCAACCGCTGTAATTAATTCAAAGGCTTTTTAAGGGCTGTATAGAGCGACCTTTAGACACCCTATTTGTCACGTCAATCGCTTGATAGGGTGCAACTGACGTCGTGATGGAAGTATTGAAGGGGCAAGAATTCAAGATCGTTTCTTATCATTTTCACACTAAGAAACGCGGGGACTATCTGTATACGGCTAAAATCGAAGAGTCCAATTTTATCGGATCGTTATGACATTCCGTAGCTTCATTTGGAAGGCTCGAGGCACAGCTCGAGGATCGGCTCTGAGGGCCCTCTATGTTCGACCTCGGGGCAGCATAAATCGGTGGCCATCATGAACAAGCAGGAGATTCGCTAGGCACATGGTTAAAGCTGACAACGCCTGCAAGAATAGTATTAGTCCGTACCGGACTAATAAGTAGTTGTACCAGCTACATTTCTTTATAATAATTATACATGTACCATGTTGGGACTCCTCCTCCTATATAAAGGGGACCCTTATTATTTCTTTCATATGATATTCAATACAAGAACAAGAACATTCTCTGCTCTCTAACTTAAACATATTCTCCCTTGATTTTATTGCTTATATTTATTACATTGCTTACATTTATTGCGTCTCATTGATTGTTCATCATTTATTACTCATCATTGGCCATAAAGAGCCCTCATCAAAGCTCTTTGAACTGTTAGTCCTTCATCGGCTATCCACAGCCTAACGCTTTAGCTCGACCTCGAGGCCCAGTATAGGCTAGCTCGAGACCCCGATTCTCGTCCACTCGGTTTGCTTGTCACACTATCTTCAAGCTCTTATCTTATTTTCTAGTCTCACACTTAGCATCTACTGCCTAACAACTAGCATACAAATAAATCGCGTATTTTTAGAACCACAAAATCAAATCTAATTTTAATTACCATTTTCAAGGAAAACACTGTTATAACAATTCAATTAAAGGCATGAAAAGAGTCTAGATAATCTAAACCGGTCAAATACCATATACGGCCCATGTACCCACCGTCACCTTGCGTACACGGCCTTCACATAATACAAATAGCACAATCAACCCAAATCCTAAGGGGTCCACCATTCTAAGTTAGGCAAGATACTTACCTCAAACAAGCTCAATCGATACACTAGAAGTGCCAACCCCGCTCAAATCATCCTCCGAATGGCTCGAAACTAGCCAAAAATAACTCAAAATCATCAAATAATGTAATAGGAAGCAAACCTAATCGATAAAGGTCGAATCTTTACACATTTATCCAAAGTCAACCAAAAAGTTAAAACCGAGCCCGCACCTCAGAACCCGATAAAACTCATAAAATCTGACAACCTATTTAATTACGAGTCCAACCATACTAATTTTACTCAATTCCGAATCCGAATTAGTGTTCAAAACTCAATACATCACTTTAGGAAAGTTTAGACAAAAACCCCCAATTTCTCTTTTGAAATCATCAATCAAATGCTAAAAACGAAGATGGAATCACGGAATATAATCAAAACCGAGTAGAAAATACTTACCCCATGAAAGAAACTTTAAGAACATCCTTGAATTCTCCCAATCCAAAACTTTCAAGATGAGAAAAACTCCAACAACATTAATAGCCAAAAACGTCCAGTTGTTCTGCCTCGTTTCTTATGCCAAATAATTTTGAAACTCGCTTTTGATGCCTCCAGTGGATTTCTCGTGAAATTTCAGTCAAGTTAGGCTTTTGAATTATTCAATTTGACCTTATAATGAAGGAGGTATGTTGGTTTAAATATTTGAAAATGGTGCGGGTTTTGAAATACGAATTCAGTGGCAATTTCATAATTAATCTGAAAAATCTAGCAATGCAATTCTTAGTAAAACGATCACATATTCCTCATATGATGTCGAAACTTGATGATTTCAGTTGTTATGGGTCCAAAATTATGATATGGATATAATGATTTAGTCGAAGTACGAATCAAAAGCCGTTTGCTCAATATGGTAATATTTATGCTCAAACCAACATCGAAACCGAAAACAATCACCATACAACCCAAACTTATCCAAAACTCATCAAATTTAACCAAACTTTGTGGACATGTCCAGAATAATCATAAAAACTATAATTAAAACCTGATTTTGAGTCCGTTTACCCAAAAGTCAAACCTTGGACAACTCTTCCAATTTAAAGCTTCTAAAACGAGAATCATTCTTCCAAATCAATCTCGAACCGCTCCGAAAACGAAACCAACCATACACGCAAGTTATAATACATAATATGAAGCTACTCATAGTCTCAAACCACCGAATGGAACGCTAAAGATCAAAAAGACCGGTCGAGTCGTTGCATTGAGATTCAAACCTATTGGGCTCAAATTTTCATACTCCCCAAAAAAGTAGTTTAGTAGACTGAATATACTCATTGCTTGGGAGACTGTATGCCAACCAAGATCTACTAGTAGACTGAATATACTCAATTTCACCCTACGGAATAGAGTTGCAATACTAAAGCTATTATGGGAAATTCTCTTAGAAACACGATACACTTTGGGTTTTATGGATTCAACATAAATACATCAAAGGGCAAGACTTAAAAGAAATGAGAACACCAAGACAAGCAAGCTGGGTGATTAGGAAGATATATGAGGCTAGGCAATTGCTAACACCAGATATGGTTAGATTGCAGGCTTATGCAACTGATGCCAAATTCAGCATAAAGAAACCTTATATGGACAATTTCCGTCAATATCCTAAAGTCCATTGGAAAAGCTTGATTCTTAGTAAAGGCAAGATACCAAAACATCAATTTAATCTGTGGATGACAATTCAACACAGATTGGCAACAGTAAATAGGCTACAGAAGTGAGGAATACAAGTGCAATGTGAGTGTGTGATATGCTCAACAGATACAGAAGAAACATTCACTCGTTCTTTGAATGTATCTACTCCCAAGACCGACTCTACTGTTATGAGTAGTAAGGCTTGTGCCTTAGGCCCCCAAATTTGAGGGGCCCTATTTTTTAGAAATAATAAGTTTATATGTATTTAAAAAATAATATTTAGTATTTTTAATACAAAAGTAGAGTTTTTAATATAAAAGAAAAGAAAGCTCTTTAGATATATAAATAAAGTAATAATTTGGCTTACTTTAAAATGGGTAAATAAATAGTTTTTCAAATGTTTCATTAGATAACGTGTAAAATTTTTACTCTTCCTTTCTTAATTTGTCCAAGTCAATCTTTCTTTTTCCCAATCTCTTCATATTTCAGAAACCCCTACGTATTTTCTGTCTTTCTTTTTGTGTTCAACAATACTTTTAAGCTTCTAATAATTCTATTGCTCTATAAATTTTTTATCTAAGATCGATAATATCTCAAAAAAGATTAAATGAGTTGGCTATATTATCAATTGAAAGGAATCATTAGAGAAAATTGATTATAAAAAAGATTATTAACAACTTTGTATCTCAAAAAGCTAGAAGAATAAACTTCAAATAAAAACATATCTTATAACTCTCTTTAAAAAAATTTAGGCTTCATATTAAACTTTGGCTTTAGGCCCCGCTTTTACTTGAGCCGCCCCTGTCTTCTCCAAGACTATATGACAGAAACTAATTCATTGGACAGGAATGGAGAGACAAGTGTGATCATGGAATGAAGAACTAGTATGGCCGTCAAACACAACAAGAAGCAATCATCCAAAAGCAGCCATCCTTGCCTTCTGGGGCAATTGCATCTATACCCGCTTTTTGTGCCACATTTTAACCTGTGCCCGCTTTGCAAAAAAAATTGTAAGCCTACCCGTTTTTTCGCATAACTTCAGCACACGGGGCTGAAGTAGCAAAGGCAATCACACAAAACTTCAGCATTTTAGTAGCCGGGCCTGAAGTTCAGCTCTAGAGCTGAAGTTTTTGTTTTGTAACTCGCGAACTTTAGCTCTAGAGCTGAAGTTTTATTTTATAAGTTTTTGTTTAGTAACTGGGTTGAAGTTTGCCAGTTTTTGTTTAGTAAACTTTAGCTCTAGAGCTGAAGTTTGCCAGTTATAAAATAAAAACTTCAGCTCTACAGCTGAAGTTTTATTTTATAAGTTTTTGTTTAGTAACCGGAAAACTTCAGCTCTAGAGCTGAAGTTTTCAAGTTATAAAATAAAAACTTCAGCTCTAGAGCTGAAGTTTTCCAGTTAAAAAATAAAAACTTCAGCTCTAGTTTTCGGGTTACTAAACAAAAACTTCAGCTCTAGAGCTGAAGTTTGCCAGTTATAAAATAAAAACTTCAGCTCTAGAGCTGAAGTTTTTGTATAGTAACCTGAAAATTTCAGCTCTAGAGCTGAAGTTTGCTAGTTATAAAATAAAAACTTCAGCTCTAGAGCTGAAGTTTTTTAAAAAGTGGGTACGGATGCAAACAAAAAGACAAAGCGGCTACAGGTTAAAAAGGGGCGCCCAAACAGGGCGCCCCGTGCAATTTTTACATATTTGTAGCCACAGTCTATCATGTTTGGATGGAAAAGAATAGCAGAATATTTCAACAACTGAAGAGAAAAAATATAGACAGACTGAAGGAAATAGCTCTACAAATGCATATTGTCGGGCAAAAATACTCCAAATGGCATAGTGATCTAGATAGACTAATAGGTTATCCAGGCTGATAGCTACCACATGATCCTTGCCTCTACAACTTATACCCTTCCTAGAAGGCGAGCAGTTGTAGAGCTTGAAATTGGTATTAGTTAGTCTAACGAGAGTTTTATTGTTATTTTTGTGTGATCCTGTCTCTAGAGTCCAAAGAGAGGTGTGCTTGTAAATAATTATACTTGGTTGAATAAAGTTTTCCATTTAACCAAAAAATAGCTGGGCATCTTTATACCCTATCGTTACTTAGTTGTAGCATAATTACTCTTCTCCCAAACAGGTATCCATTACACTTAATTAAACTAATATTTATTACATTTTTTTGTCACGTGAATTTAATAATCTCTATTTGTTCATCCCTCTTTTACCAGCATCACTCACCCCCCACCCCCCCCCCCCACCCCACTTTATTTACTTACCCATTATTTACCCTTTCCCCTTTGTTTATTTCTTACCGGCAAAATCATATGCCCCTTCTCATTTTCCCAATTTCGTCAGCTAGGGTTTCGAAGGGATTCCAAGTTCTATAAGAGATTCAGTTATTCCAAGAAGGTTAGTAGTTATTATACTAATAAATTGTACTATTGAAAATATTTTTATCTGGTAGGTTCTTGGTGGTTCTTTTTTGTCGGTTGTAAAAGCTATATTAATCTTTTAGATTTTGCTAAAATTATGTGGTAAAAATGATAGTTTAATGTGTAAACCTGTATCTTTATGATTTCATCGGGTTCTTGGTGGTCCTTTTTTGGTCTGCTATTTTTATAGATTTTTTATTCGATTACTTTGTTCTTTTTTCATAACTGAAGTAGTACATGTGTATTTATTTGTTTCTTCTTTTGCATGTGACTACTTCCAAGGATGCTGATAAGGTGGAAATTATTTTCAATCATGGGGGGTAATTGGGTCATTTCAAGTGAGTTAGGGTATAACAAAAATCTGGTGTAAGTGGACTGATTTTGATCCTAATTTGTTATCTATTCGAGATATTAGTGAAGAGTTCACCTCTAACTTAGGGCTTAATAGAGTTAAGCAGGTGTTGTGACAGTCCCATCCGGCAAGTATGATGTAGTTTATATTGATGATGGAATGAGGATATTATAATGTCTTATTTCTTCTCAATTCAGTATAATTAGCTTTTTTGTTGTTGATGATTATGAGCTTGACTTGACTATATTTGCACTCAGTTTTATAAATCACAAAGAAAATTACGATGCAGATGTTGCTACTGTTGGTGAGTGTGAGCATGACCTGACTTCCTTTGAACCTAATACCATACATCACAAGAGAAATTATAATGTAGAAGTTGTTGCTATTAGTGAGTGTGAGGAAGGAGATGATTTGTTTGAGTTTGGCGCATCTGGCTATGATGAGTATAATCCTGAGGAACTCGAACTTTTTAACTAAGAGAGGAGGAGAACGGTAAGTGATAAGTGGGTCATGACCTTCAAAGATATGAAAGAATCAAGACAATCCATCAATTTCTATGTTGTAGTTAATAAGAAAGGGTCGAGGGTTAAGCAAAGTGATTCAATCAGATCAGGTATATCTGTAAGATGGATATCCTTTTGTTTGTCTTATCTCTAAGGATGATAAAACTCAGGGATTTAAAATTAGAACTTTAAAGTCAGAATACACATATGATGATGCTTTTAAGAATAAGAGAGATGATTCTGCTACATTAGCTCATTACTTCAAGAATAAAGTACAAAACAACCCTAAGTTTAAGGTTAGTGAAATGAGGGGGGATCTTGAAAGTGGTTTCCATTTAAAAGTGTCCAAATAGAAGCTAAAAATGACTAAAAGACTAGCTTTGGAGAAATTGGAGGGAAACTTCTTGATAATTATAATAAGCTTGAGGCATATTCCCAAGAAATTAAGCAAACTAATTTTGGCAGTGATTTTGTTATTGTATATCAAATGAGACCTTATTGGAGGAAAAGAGAAGATTCTTGAGGATATTTGTATGTTTTCATTCTTTGAAGCAAGGGTGAGAAAATATTTTGAGGCCTTTCATTGGGTTAGGTGGGACTTTCTTAATAAGAAGGACTAGTGGTCAAATGTTGGTTGCTATTAGCCAAGATTCCATGAACTATTTTTACCCAATAGCATGGGCTGTGGTAGACAAAGAAAATACCAGGACATGGACCTGACTTATGAATATGTTGAAGAGGTCTTTGGACCTTAAAGTTGGTGTTAGAATGACATTTATTTCAGATATGCATTAGGTGAGTCATATTTTAGTATTATATTTTTATTTTTGGATTATTAATTCTGATTTCAATTTTTTCTTATTTTTCTTTTATGGCAGGACGGTTAGATGCAGTGATGAGTGTACTACCAGAAGCATATTACAGATTCTGTGTTGGACAGATTGAGGCTAATTGGTGTAGAAGTGGAGGAATGGTGAAACAAAATATTGATGTGATGGTGTTCTTATAACACTTATAAAGAGGAATTTGAAGGCTAGATAATAAAATTGGGAGACTAAGCTGAAGATGCTGCAAAGGATATAATGCATTATCCACCAAAAGCTTGGTGTAGAGCTTTCTTTTATATATAATGTAAGAAAATAATGGTGGATAATAACTTTACTGTATCATTTAATGCATGGATTCTGGAGGCTAGATGCAAGCCTATCATCAAGATGCTTGAAGAAATAAAGATCAAGGTGATGTGAATGTTGACTAACAATGAAGCTAAATTGAGACTTGAAATGCTGACTACATTCCACAAGATATGAAACTATACAGTGATTCCAGGCAAATTGCCTCACATTGCAAGGTACAATTTGATGGTAATCATGGATATGAGGTTTTAGAAGGTAAAAATAGACACACTGTCCAAAGAAGATGAGATGCACATGTAGGATATGGGACTTGGTGAAATCCCATGTCCCCACACAATCAAAGCCCTGATGTACTAGAAGGTTGATCCTATAACTGAAATAAGTTGGTAGTATACTAACGAGGCTTATATGCTAACATATAAGCAAAAAATGATATTGAGGGGTCCAAAATTCTAAAAATTTGATCCTTCTTAAGACAGAGCCACCTGATATTGTGAAAATTGTTAGCAGGCCCAAAGTTAAGAGAAACAGACAGCAGATAAGGTAAGAAAAAGAAAAGGAGATGACTCAAATTTATTGCATCAAATGTGGTGAGCCTAACTACAATGCAAGGGGATGTTTCAAGGTACAAATAACAGTATTCTGCATTTTTAATTACATTGGTATAACTACCATACACTGTTTTGTGCCAGGATTCTAGAGCTGGAAGTAATGCACAAGCTAGGAAAAAGGAAAGGGATAACGTGCAGTTAAACTGAAGATGAATTCCAAGCAAAGACGACTGAAGAAGAGACCCTGACAGATCTTACTAAAGATCTCCAAGCTCTAGCACAGGCAACACAATAGTCTATTGGTTATGGTAAGCGACGAAGACCCGCCATTAAGGCCACATGTTATTTTTGAGACAAAAATAAGACTGGAAAGTAAGCAAAAATGGCAAAATTCAATTGAGGCAAGAAGGATTCAGTTCGGGAGAGATCACACAGGAAGCTCAACGCTAAATTGCCTTTCTCACCAAACAAGGCAACTTGGATGGGGAAGACAACCATGACATCCAATCAGTTGCAAGAAGAAGTCAGAAGAAAAAAAAAAAGGTGAAGAAGATCGGAATAAAGGGTAAAGGTGCGCGTACATCAGAGACATAGTAGTTGGATAGTTAATATTTTTAGTGAAGGCTGACATGTATAATTGGGTAGTTAATATTTTTATGAGGACTAGTATAGGTAGTTGGACAGTTATGCTAGTCTTTTGGCTTAGCCATCCGATGGTTGATTACATTTAATATTTTTTGTCATTGATTAAGCACCTGATAAATAAGAACAAGTTGCATAAAAATGAATTTGTTGCACTTTGAATGAACTATCCTACTTGACTGTTTTGGTATGATTTTTTTGTCTTTGTTAATTTGGTGCATTATTTATCCCATTGGCATTACCAGATTTGTGTAGTGAAGTTTGTCCTTTTTATTGTATTTTACATCACTAATATAGAGAAATGATATAAGTAAAACCAAATGAGAGCTTCCTGGATTTTTACAATCCTTTAGTATGTATTACTAAGGCCAACGTATCAAACAAATGACAAAACAATAATGAAGAGTTTATAGCAAGAAAGATTTTTTTTCTTTTTTTTTTTTTTTTTTTTTTTTTTTTTTTTTTTTTTTTTTGTTGCACTTTAGGGATAGAACATCCCCTTTTAACATACATATCCGAACACAAACAAAATAAATACGAGAACTAACTATAAGATACGACATAAGTTCAAAACGACAAGTACTGAACACAAAACAAAATGAATATGTTAATTAGCAATAAGATCCAACATTAGTTCAAAGATTCATATACTACGATTAATCCAACATCTCAATTTTCATTCCATCTTCAAGTCGCGATTAATCCAACAAAACAACACTAGATACAAATAACAAGCCACTGCTTAAATAATTTATTCTTCAACTTTTTGTCCTTTTTTCGACTATTTTGAAGTTTAGCTTATTTCCAGATTTGGCCTCTTCCTCTTCTTTTTCTTTCTCTTTAAGCATCCGAATCAGCTTCAGACCGTCGAGTTTGATTTTAGGCTTAGACCCGAAGTTCTGAATTTCGTAACTTTCGGAACTTTAGACTGTCGAGTATGAAGTTGATATTAAGGCGACTAAACTTTAAAATCTTTACAAAATTTGACTATTTTTTAAATTGGTGTCCTAAAAATGGCTATTTGTGCACTTCTCCAAAATTTCTTTTTCACAGCAAAGATTATAGGGAAAATACCAGCTATTTCCATTTACAAGTAGCTTATTATAAAAACTGGCCAATTCATTAAATATTTAGCCAAATATTAGCCAATTAGCTATCTGTAGCAAAAAAAGGCCAAATTTTTTGCTTTCTTTTGAGTGTGTGTTATTAGAATAGATTGAGTACATCTTAATGAGCTTGAATCTCAGTTTTGGGATGATTTGGTGGAGTTTTGAGGTGGTTTGAATTGAAAAGTCGAAGTAGACGATGAACATAAAAAAATGATAGGTGTATCACACTGTGTATCACATATGTGTCATATTTTTATCAAATGTGTATCACATGTATATCCATGTACACCTGCGTGTGAGATACATGCGCGATACATGTTTGATACATGTGTCGCAGAAGGATTTTTGAACTCCATTTTAACTATGAATTTTGATATCAAATCAGTCTAAATCACCTCCAATCTTCCTCAAATTTTGTATATTGACTCATCTATATGTTTTCAATGAATCTCAACCATATCCGTTTAAAAAGGTCCTTTTTTCCTTAGATTTTTGAAATCTTGTATATATAGTTTTTTTTTTTGTATTTCATCACCTTATTTGCTACCTCATCCATGAAATTTCCTTTCCGTCTCCGTCTTGCACCTAGTGTTGCTGATCACGCTTAAAAATATGGAAGGAGACCTTTGTGTGTGATTCTTGGAGAGAAAGAATCTTATTTCTTAGGGTTTTTAATTTTTATATGCACTTGGCTAGTTTTGGTAAGTCTATAATTAATGGCTAGAGGTTGGTAAATTGGAAATTTTTGGGACATTTCCAAGATTATATGCCCAAAAAAGAGCTTTGATATTCATGATTGGGCCTTCATTTGATACTACGCAAGCCCAAGATTATGGCCCAAGCCCAACAATCGGTCCGTCGAGAGCATTGTCGGTCTTCAGCATCAAAAAGTACCCATTTTTTGCTTCTTATTTCAGCACCCCCAAAAATCTTGACTTAGTGAATGGAAGAACAGAAGAGGAAATGGAGGCGATGTTCAAAGGAATTATCTCTAATCAACAATCTTGATGATGGCTGTCTTATGCACATCTTTAGTTTTCTCTCCCCTATTCCAGGTACAATTACTTTACTGCCCCCTATTCTTTCATATCAATTTCTCAATAATTTAGTATACTTTTGTAATTCAGTTTCTTTGGCTCAAATTAGCAAAACCATCTCTTAAAATCAACTAAAGGTGACAAAGATTGAATCTTTTTATGTCTCTTTCAGTCCAATTCTTGTTTTATTAAATTTCACAATGATTTGTTATGCTTTTGTAGCAGTTTTCAGTTTTCAGCTTAATTCAGTCTTTTTGGTTTAAATTTGCAATACCCAACTCTTAATTTCATCAACTAAAGGTTATAAAGATTGAATATTTTTGTGTCTCTCTTAGTCCAATTCTTATTTAATTAAATTTCTTGAATTATTGTGAACATATTTAGCTTCTTAATAGATAATGCCCATAGTGACTTTATTATAGTTAATCAAATTGCAAATTCCAGCTTTACTTTTCATCAATTAAAGGTTACAAAGATTGGATTTTTTTGTGTTCTATTTTCCGGTCCAATTCTAGGCTTTCAATATTAGAGTTTCTTTCTCATCTTGAAGTTGATCTCCTGTCCTCTACTGACCCACCCCAATCAGCATTACTATAAATTTCAACCCTCCCATGGCCATGGTTAGTATAGATTCAAGTGGTACGTGAGTTGGGTTTAGAACGTCGTGAGACAGTTCGGTTCCTATCTACCGTTGGTGTTAAAGGAAGAACTGCGAATGAGCCAACCCTAGTACGGGAGGACTGGGTTGGGCAACCTGAAAATCGTAGCAAAGACTTCTACAAGACGTTCTATTTTTTTTTATAGAAATATATTCGTTCAAAAGAAATTGGTACTTATTGTTTTTGCTGTTAGTACTGTAGCTTATGGGCATGTACCACTGCCCCAAGAAAATTTCAACTAGAAAGGATAAGATAGAAGAGGGAGTAAGAGAAAATATCTGAAGCTGTCATTTTTAAAAATTATAGGTAAAATTTGTTAGCAAGTGCTCCGGTGGATTTCATACTTATGCATTTTTGAGTTTAGTTGATTGTTTCTTCATTTAAAGTTTGCATTTTGAGTGTCTTTTACAATCCAGGTCTTGTTTTTCTTTTTTGTTATGGCTTGCACTTATGGTTAATCTATTTAAACAGATAACTGCCGAGATTCGTCTTCATCCGTTAGTTTTTTGGTTTTACAATACATGCCCATTTCAAGTTGCCTGATTGTCGATTAACAAGTTTCAGATGAGTGGCATTTATTTTTTTGCATGTCTACCTTGGTCCTTGACTACTGAAAAATATATCTTTTCAAGGTCACTTGATCTTTATCTGTAACAACAATACAACATAAATGTTCAGGGACCTAGCTTTGACTGCAGTTGGATAACATCATAGTCAGCCCCTAATCACCCAATAATGGTTGGTTTCAGGTTGGGAGCTGGGAATAAGTTTTTACGTTTAACCGAATAATCAAAACAATAAAAATGTGGCTTGTATATGAACCTGTTCTACAGCACAGCACTAGAGAACTGTGAGTTTATTCTTTCCAGCCAGAGTAAAAAAGAGCTGAATATGTTTTAGGCTTTAAAACATTGAAACATAAGAAAGCAATCCGGTTTTCCCTATATTAATTATTAAACATGTCTGTCGCTCGTCTTGGCTCGTTCTATCGGTACTCTGCGAAAGGTAACTATAGATTACTATGTTTTCATTCACCAGCCGTTACAGTGGCATGATTGTATCACCTTTCTTTTTATATTTTTATTTCATTTTACGTTTTTGTTCTTCTCTCTTGATATGGAGGATACATATTTTGTCGATTTTCTTTTTTTGTAAATATCCCTTGTTCCAGTGCGTACTCAAATAGTTACCTAATGTTATGTCTGAAAGATTGAGAGCGGAACATAAACTTCTCATCACACCAGGAGCTTGGTCATAGAAGAACTTTACCTCACCAATCACCATTGGATGTGAATACCCACGCATATCCGATCGGAAAATACTAAGGAACTTGCCTAGACATAGGAATTGTCTTAGAGGTCATAATACTCGCTCCTGAATCATTTCCAGAACTCCGAAAACTACCATAGAGAATTCAGAAATGACCAGGCCTACACCGTGTCCATTTCACAATGCCATTGGCATTGTTGACGGTATTCGAGAGACTCAGTCGCCATCCTCGTTGCGCGGAAGTCCACAGGCCACGCACGGGGATTCACTCAGCTGTAGATAATGGGTATAGGCCTGGTCATTTCTATACTCTCTATGGAAGCAATGGAGTTTTGGAAATGATTCGGCTCGAGAACGTGCGGAGAAACGAGCATTATGATCTCAAGACAATTCCTATGTCTATCTTTTGGCAAGTTCCTCAATATTTTTTGATCGTATGTGCGAAGGTATTCACATTCATTGGTGATTGGTCAGGTCCAGTTCTATGTGATGAGAAGCGTATCTCTCTCTCTCTCTCTCTCTCTCAGCCATCACATTAGATAAAGATATCGATTTTCCATCAGAGCAACCTTCTCTTATAGTTCAATGCCGGTGTAGGAATATATAGGTGAAAAGTTCAACATATGCTTTTACTTCTGTATCAATGCTTGTATAGTGCAAATGATCTTAAGGTGGCACGAGAATTTAAGAGCTCTTCTCATTACTTGTTTAAAAAAAAGAGCTTATGGCTCATATGTGACCCCAGATCCTTGCTAGGCATCAAGTAGTAGTTTCAAAGTGGCCGCACCATTGTTAAAGCAATCTTCATTTTGTATATTATCAAACATGAGATCAATCTTAGTCTTATGACTTATTTTATGGGTGGTTATTAGATGTGTTATTAGTTTTTCCTTTTATTTGGGAGGTGAGGTCTTTTGGCAAGTGTGCACTGTGATTCATTTGCCTAGTATGCTCTAACTGGATGAATCTATTTTTAGATTTTAGTGTAGAACAAATTATGGTGCTATGCGATTCTCTTCTGTCACAACTTGCTGTTGAGTTGCAGATCGGTATAACACCGCCCTCGTTTGCCACAGATGGCGATTCTTGGCCTGCCATCCTCAGCTTTGGTTGCGAGTGGATCGTTCTGTGAAAGATTTGTCGCAACCTGGGGTCTATCCGAACATCGAGATGGCTGTCTCTGCTGCAAGGTTAGCATTTTTCTCCATTTTCCTTTCTCTGTTCTGGTTTTGGTTTCACAAGCTGACATGGTACCTGGATGTTGTTCAGGCCTGGGGACACTATACTTGTTGCAGCAGGAGGCAGCCATCGTGTGTCAAATATTAAGATTGAGAAGCCACTTTGCCTGGTAACTTAAAAAAATTAACCTCAGATTACTTTACATACTTAATGCCTAGAAGATGCTGGACCATTTGATGTTTTACCGTCTCGTGAGCTCTCTGAGAGATATTTTAAAGCTTTAACTTTATGTGAATTCATAGCTATTCCCACTCAAAGAGTTCTTATTTTGGTTTATGAATCGTATATTGAGTACATGAATACATATAATAGTTATGTAAACCCATTGGATGTATGACGGCAACACAATATTACCTGGCGTAGTAGCAGCTCAGACTACAGAGACAACCCCCCCCCCCCGCCCCCCCCTCTCCCTTACAACTAACGAAAAAAGAAAAATAAAGAAGGAAGGAGGAAGAAGAAGTATTAGGAGGAGAGCGTAACGTACGGTCGGGTACCCGGGGGGGGGGGGGGGGGGGGTTGGTGGTGATGGTGGATCAGCGCTAGATGGTTAACATATAGTATGCACCAGAGTCAAGGTTTTCTCCCTTTGCATATACCATGAGAGAAAAGTAAATGCATGCGTAATTATCTAAGATTAGCAGCGCTAGCCTTCCGCTACCTCAATTTTCTTTTTACAGATTGGCGCAGGTGAGAGTCCTGATGATACAACACTTATTTGCTCCCGCAGTTCAGACAGGTTTGTGAGACTTTCATCGCTTTTTTTCTTATTTTTCTGTTCTTTGTGAACCTTGGTATAATACTTTTATTTTTTGCTGAAACATAGAAGTTTCTTGTTCAAAATTAATTTTCTTTACTGGGACATTAGATTGATCATTACTCTTCTTAAAACTTAAAAAAAGCTGGCGTATTAGGATACCACCTTTTTTTTTTTTACTAAGGGAGATTTTCCATCCTAGTGGCTTAGAGCTTATTCTTGAGATGGGTGCCAAATATGAGTGCTACACAAGCAGAACTAAATAGATGCTTTCTTGAATTGGAGAAATAGATGCTTTTGCAATTATGATCAATACTTAATGAACCTCAATAAAATTCACATTATTTGATCTTCAGTTTCTGTCTGTGCAATGTTTATTTAAAGATGTCTATTATTATCAAGTTTGCACAAGTCAAGTTAAACTGAGTTTGTATCTGCTTTCTGAGAGGTAGAGCTGTTTTCACTTGCCATTGTACGCATGTTTGTTCTTTGTTTCTGAGCAGTGCATTAGAGTTCATGTCCACATGTAAGCTGGCTAATTTGACTGTGAGGGCAGAACTTGGTTGCTGCTTGCTTCATAGGAGTGGGAGGCTTACCATTGATGGGTGCATTCTTCAGTGTGAGTCGAATCCTCTGGACCATCTCTCCTATGCAATTATTAGTACTGCTGGTGCTCCTGAGGTCGTCTCATCAGCACTCAAGACTTGTATTAGTAGTGTTTCGGTTCTGAGAACTCGCATTGAAGGAGGTGCCAAAGCTGTCCTCACCAGTGGGACACTTTCATTGCAACGAGTACGAGTGATTTATACTCGTACATCACTCTTCTTCTGGTTTGAGGTAGAAGGTGGTGACAAGAATACCGTCCAATCTGCATCTGTTGCACTGCCAATTAGTTAGTTAATCTACTTTCTTTGTGTTCTGATTGGTCATTATCCTTTCATCACCTGTCTTGAAAGAGGAAAGGGGTGTGAGGGGGTTAGTTGTAACCTGTAACATATTTTTCTGATTACATTCAGTTTGTAATGTATCATTGTGCAAATTCTTGGTTCTTTAATAGTTCCCGAGATAAATAACGTGTTTTATGAAACACCATTTCTTTGCAGTTCTTACTATGAAAAAGCACTATTTTTCAAAATTGAATCTCACAATATATAACTCGTCCAAAGATCGCCTACGTGTCAAGTAACTGCAATACTAATAGGAAATGAACCAGTGGAAATTTTGTTACTAGATTGTCAATGTAGACATATATGGAAAAATATCTGTATTTTTCAAAAGATATTCCAATGGTTTATCTCAAACAAAAATTGGCCTTTGAGTTGCTTTGTTTGGCGAAGATAACGTTTAATTTTTTTCAATGTCGAGTTGATTAAACTGGTTTAACTTCTCCACAAGACCACTATCTAATTAGGTGAAAATTATACCTAGAAATAACCCCCTAGTGTATAGGCCTAATAGAACAAAACCTGAATATCCAATGCAAAACTCATCATTCCTCTTGCAAAAACTATACTACACTTCTTGTTGTTGATAATATAAATGAATAAACCATTCGACAACATGACTTTTCAGTCAAAAATAGCATACGGGCTGTCTAACAATACCACAAAACGAAAATTGCCATCAAGTCCATAAAAGAGTACTCTGCATATCCGAAATCACGAAACTCCAGCACAAATCTAATCTCAGAATCAATCTACAAACTTCAAAAATCGTGATGCTCTCTTCATCTGTTTATTGCAGTCAGTTTAATGTAGGTGCAACCTCTTGGATAAAAAGAATATGATTGCTGAATTTGTCCTTTTGAATATAAACCCAGTTGTTCAAGGCGTCTTTACAAGAACTTCATCTGGGTATTCGATTTCATAGATGAATTCAGTCATATCCTGTACTTGTAATGAATCCGGGAGAGCACTCTTTGCCTGCAGCTTGTTTTAGGTTAAGCTGAATGAGTTACCTGAATGTCAATCAAGTATGGGATTAGTTGGTAATGAAATCTAACGGCTAGTAGCATATTCTAAAGTGAGCGGATTCAATACCAAACGGGACTGTCTTTGGCCAGGAACTAATTAATATTTTGCAGATTTTCCTTTAAAAAGGAGTTAAACTGGATTATAAAGCAAGACTGAAATTATCGAGTTGCCAAAGCCAATGATACTTGTCGGAAGCAATATTCAATTGTACAGTTTCAGAGTTCAAGGTTAGCATTTTGCATCAGATAACTGGTGTTACATCATTAAGTCCTTTCAGGCTGTGTAGCACAAGAACAGAAAGTTTGCAAAACTGACTCAAGTCCTTTGTTCTCTCTTTTTTAGCTTCCCCGTGACTGCGTCTCTACCCACCAAACTACTTTGCAATACTAGCTGGAACTTAGCATATTTCAGTTTGAACAGGTGAAAGTAAAAATGGTTGACCAGTGGCAATTCCAGGCTGCAGTCACATTGCTATAAAGAAACGAAAGAAAGTGAAAAGAAGAGCGGAAAAAGTAGACGTTTTAAATATGAAATCAATTAAGAGGAAGAAATGAATAAAGAGAAAGAAAATGGTTTTCATGCAACTAGTCCACACTCATGCCTTGGTGCTACATCCCTACAGCCTACTACATAGTCAAAATTTGGACACCATATTATCTAAGGAATGCATTGATGCTAAGAAACTTAACAAAGAAAATGGAAAAAAGAAAAGGAATGCTACCTTAATAATATGTATAGAACAGCCGAAGCTTGACACAAGTTCAAGAAATCGAACTCTGTTTCACCACAAAATCATCAGCAGAATAATAGTCAGCTATGAGCCGGTACATGTATGAAGGATTATGTCCACCCCTGAAACAGCAAAAGAGAATAAGCCCAGTTTTTAAAAATAAGAAAATAAAAGAAAAAAAGAAAACAAACACCGATATTGCAAATACTGTTATATGATTCCATATTGTCACAAAGGGAAAATGTTAAAAAATAAAATATAAGAAGGTTAAATATTTCACACTTATTAGTTTGTACTGTCAATTGATCAGACAGATTTCCCAGGTATATTTCTTCTTGCTTTTAAGTAGATTGAGTTATAAATTTATCTCATGCACATTAAGGTTGGGTTGCAACACCAGCAATTAGCATTCACCAAGGAGTAACATTTCATGAAGAGATACATTCTCAAAAATACCAATAGTAAGGTACTCACGTGTCTGTTATAAACAAACTAACAAGATTTGGTGGCACGTAATCAAATGCAGGATTAACAACATGAAGTAGAGGGGAACCAGAGCTGCTCCCAAAGTCCAGGCAATCCGAGAACTCTCCAAAATCCAGCAGCTCAGCTGGTGACTTCAATTCATTTAGCAAGACTTCGGGATTGTGCGGATACAAAGGACACAACTGTTGCACAAACAAGTCGTTACACAAATGATTCTCAGTTGAAGTAGATGCAGTAAGAAAAGATATTTGACCTTAAGAAAAAGGTTCACCAATATTTATGGTCTTTCCTTCAATCAACTACAAGAATGCCAAGAAATCACTACTAAGTAGTAAAGTAGTATTTTAACATAACCCGTGTCCTACAGTGGGTAGCATGACTTGTTTAGCTGCCTTCTTCATACTTCATGCACTCAGGTTCCAATTTATAAGTCTTGTTTATTTTGTCCATGTCAATAGGTATGCAATTTTCTTCAAATCTAAATACCACAGCATGATGCTTCAAATCTATGGTATATTTCTTTCGAGATGGAAGTTTTATGGTTCTTACTACTTTGCAAGGTTTCAGTGAGCATTTGTAAAATTTATGGCTCTTTATGGTAGTTGAATACAAAACCAGTTTCCTTTCCCCATAATATTTCATGTCTCAGGTTCCAGTTTCATCTTATTAATCGCGACACAACTTGTGAGATATATTCATTATCTTTCTGGACTGGACTATCATATCCCCAATAGAACAGCCATAGTTGTTGCTGGCCTACCATGACATACATAGAGTAGTTCTTTAATCATCACTGTCAATCGCGCTATGGGCCTGGAAATTAATAGTGGCATGACTCGAACATTAAATTTATGTTTATGTTAGAGGTCCTAAGATAGTGAGGATTGAGGAGCCAAGATGTGGCATGGTAGTAAAATAGTTGATACTTGGTAGTGGAGGAGACTGAGCAGTAGTGACTATGATGGAAGAATATCAAAGTAAGAATATTCTCATACTGACTAGGATGGAGGATTAAGATCATTAATCCTACTGTCCCGGTGACTTCATTTAGCTAGAAAATAGAGCCCACTCCTTTTCGAGTTTCCCGCTGGATGCCGAGCAATTAGGTGGCTAATAAAGTACAAAATTTGGAAGCCAAAATGTGTCAACTAATATTAAGTGTCCCCTAGTAGCTCTGGAACCAATCTTACTTCAACTGAATAAGGTAGTATGCATTCAAGCCTCAGTTCAATGTGAGTTGATTAAGATTCAGTAGTTGTTCAAGCTTGACTGTGAATATAGTGGATACTGAATAAGCTTGGCTTGAATTGCAAGCTCAGCACTAATCTGAGCATTTGGCCTGAACTAGAGCTCAAACCATTGGTTTTCTACAAATTTCCTTCTAAACGGGAAAAAGAAAACTACAAAAAAAGGACCATTTGTGGAACAACAAAGAATAAAAACAACAACAACAAACCCATTGAAGGGTAAAGTGTACGCAGACCTTACCCCTACTTAATGAAGGTATAGAGGCCGTTTCCGAAAGACCCTCGGCACAACAAAGAATAAAAGCAAAGAATTGCAAAAGAACAAGTTCACAAACAATTTTTAAGAACAAGAAATAAATTAACCAATCCTGAAGGTTGAGAATTGTAAAGGTGGATTTTGCATTTCTAGTTTAATCATTAATGAGAATTTCTACGAAAGCAATGTAGTAATATTTGAGCATTCAATTTCTCAAGTACTTCCTTCTTCCCATTTGGTTGGCATCAAAGAAAAATGACTATTTCCTAAATTGGTAATGTTTACCAGTCTCAGAAAGTCTCAAGTAATGTATAGGAGTGCTGCATTTTATTATTTTCAGTTTGATGTGACATCCTTATACTCTTTTCACAACTTTCCACCATTGTGTTAAATGTATATATTCTAAGCACAAATGTTATAACTCATTCAAATTATTCTCTTCAACTTCGTGAAGGTCAAGTAATACCTTGTCTTAAAGCAAGCATTAACAGATTCGACCTCAAGCTATCCATTTGCAGCTCTGCCGACCGAGTATTCTTAGGTCTGATGGTGTTTCCATAGTTGCAATAAATTCTAGTCCATGTGTCAATTTCAATCTTAAGCTCTTTTAAGCAGACTACGGATAAATGTCTTTGAGTTGAACCTGTGTTCTGAGGATCCTAGCAAAGGTGGATTTCCCTCTTCTTTATCTTAGTCACCTTTAATGTCTATTTGTAGTTGACAGTTTTGCACCTTTCTAATTGTACACTAAGGAAATCTGGTTCAATCTCTCTCAGGTATTCTACTACAGGCTAAGCAATCGCTTGATCCATCAGTAGCAAGCAACCCTGTTACCAACTGATATGACCTTACCAGAACCTATTTCTTCCCACTGTCTCGGAAAAATCTAACACAGATCGTAATTTTACAAGGAGTGTAACAGGGTTGCAGTGTCCTATGGTCATTCAACATCTTAAATAAGCCATGCCACGTCTTCTTAGAGAATAGCAAAGAAAATATATACTCCGTCGTCCCAGTTTATGTGGTGCACTTTCTTTTTTAGTCTATCCCAAAAAGAATGATATCTTTCTATCTTAAGAAACAATTTAAATTTAAACTTCTCATTTTATCCTTAATGAGATGATTTATAGCCACACAAATATATATGGGTTGCTTTATACCACAAGTTCCAAAAGTCTTTCTTTCTTTCTTTAACTTTTGAGTAATTATTATCACTTTTGTAGACAAGGAAGAGTGTTGGCCAATTGCTTTAGTTGAGTCTTAAGCTAGAAGAGGTCTAGGGTTCAATCCTATTTCACCACAATTTTTTTACAATAGAGGCTCACACAATATTTGCCAAAAAGAAAGTCCAAGCTGAGGTACAAACCTCCGACCTCTATAAGCAAAACTATGCGCTT